TTTTCTGTTCCCTCTTGAGTCAGTTTCAGTGGTTTTTGTCTTCTCAGGAATCTGCCCATTTAATCTGAGTTTTCTTATTCATTGGTATATAGTTGTTCATAGTATCCCCCATGATCCTTTTTATTTCTGAAAAATTGCTAGTAATGTTCCCTCTTTTATTCCTAATTTTAGTAATTTGAGTCTTCTCTCTTTTTTTCTTGGTTAGTCTAGCTAAAAGTTTATCAATTTTGTTGATCTTTTCAAAGAATCAGGTTTCGTTCTGTTGTTTTCTCTTTTGTTTTTCTGTTCTTTACTTCATTGAGTTTTTGCTGTAATCTTTATTTCCTTGGTTCTGCTTGCTTTGGATTTAGTCTTTTTTGATGGAATGTTAGGTCATTGTCTTGAGATCGTTCTTTTTTCTGTTATGGCCCTTTACAGCTGTAAATTTTTTTTTCTTTTCTTTTTTCAAGATTTTATTTATTTGACAGAGAGAGACACAGTGAAAGAGGGAACACAAGCAGGGGGAGTGGGAGAGGGAGAAGCAGGGGGAGTGGGAGAGGGAGAAGCAGGCTTCCTGTCGAGCAGGGAGCCCAATGTGGGGCTCCATCCCAGGACCCTGGGACCACGACCTGAGTCAAAAGCAGACGCTTAATGACTGAGCCACCCAGGCGCCCCTATAGCTGTAAATTTTCACTTAAACACTACTCTAGCTTTATCCTTACATGAATTTTGCTGTGCCGTGTCTTCATTTGTATTCATCCAAAAGTATTTTCCAATTTCCCTTAAGATCTTTGTTGACCCAATGGTTATTTTGGATTGTGTTGCTTAATTTCCACCTAACCGAGTTTTCCAGATTTTTTTTCTGTTATTAACTTCTGATGAATCCATTGTGGTCAGAGAACATACTTTGTATGATTTCAGTCCTTTAAAATTTACTGAGGCTTGTTTTATGACCTAGTGTGTATGATCTATCCTGGAGAATATTTCATGTGTATTTGAGAAGAATGTACATTCTATTGTTGGGTACAGTGTTCTTTTGATGTCTGTTAGGTCTAGTTGGTTTGTGGTATTGCTTCAGTTAGTTTTTGAGCTTTCTAAAAATGGTACCATACCAAATGTGGCCGTTACTGGCCTTGCTATTCTCACCAGGGCCTTTGCATTTGTTGTTCCTTCAGCCTGGAACATTCTTCCCCTAGGCAAAACAGGATTTTTTCCCTCAATTTAGTCTCATTTCTCCACATATGTCATCTTATCAGAACGGCCTTTCCTGACAAGCTTTCCACCCAAATATGTCTCCTATCTTTTCATTCTCCTCTATTTTTTACCTATAGAACATGCCACTACATAAAAGCTCATAGTACATATATTTGTTTCTTCCACTCCCTTATTCACTGCTCTGTCACCTAGTAGGTACTCAGAAATTGTCAGTCAAGTATGTGGATATGGAAATCTGGAAATAAGAGCAGAAGTTTTGGTTGGAAATAAATATTTGAGAGTCATCTGTATAGAGGGAAAATCTGAATTCACAGGTAGAAAAAATCATGTAAGACAAAAGTGAGGGGATAAAAAAGGGCCAGGACCTAACCCGGATGAATCCAACATCTATTAGAGGTTTGGTAGGTGAGGAGGCCCAACAAAGAAGACTGAGAAGGAGCAACAGAGAGGTAGAATCATCATGGTTCTTTTAGTTAAGGGGTTGCCTGCACTAGCACTAAACTAAACTAGGAGGTGCCATTGAAGCCAAGTAAGAAGGCAGTAGCCAAGTCAGTGGAAGCCACTATGAAGTTCAGAAAAATAGATGTCTAAAGAAGCAACTCAGATACGGTGACATGAAGATTGTTGAGAACCTTGACAAGAGCGGTAGAGTGGTACAAACAGATGCAAGTCTACGTGTGTTGAAGAGTGTGTAGGCCATGAGGAAATGGTGATGTCTCTTCAGTTTACAAAACAATGATTATTCATTTAAACCTTTTTATAAAATCTGCAGGTAGAACTGAGCTTAGCAAGTTTCCTTTTCTTCTTCCTGGCCTTTTCAATGCTTAAAACTCCCAGATATTGAAAATGTTGATTGATTCCTTAAAGAAGGAAAGTCTCTAATGGGTAGATGTTGAATGCAATCTAAGCCAGCTGGTCCTGGGTTCCCCCCACCCCAGCTTCTGAGAACTGCGAAACTTGTGACTAGACAAAGCTACAGTATCCTCACTATCATCATCCCTTCATGACCAAACACGTATGCTCTTTGCAGTAAGTTGCCATTTGTTTTTATATAAATGTTTTAGAAAGAATCTGTCAGGACAGTAGTGGCTGTTTCTGTTTGTTAAAGTAGTTTTCTCCTATCATTTATTTCTGGATTCTTGCCTTTAGACCATATGAAACCCATAAAGATGTTTATCGGCTTCATTATCACCATGATAATAGCTACCAGAAACCTAAAGCATTGATGCAAGAGAACAGAGATTTGAGAAATAGACTCATTCGTATATGGTCAGTTGATAATTAGACCAAGATACAAAGCAATCAAATGGAGAAAACAGTCTTTTCAACAAATTGTGCCGGAGCAATTGAAAATCTATATGAAAAACAAAAACCTCAATCCATACCTTATACCTTATATAGAAATTAGTACAAAATGGATATAATAGACCTGAATATGAATTTTAAAACTATAAAACATCTGAAGAACAAAACATAGGAGAAAATTTCTGTGACCGTGGGTTAGGTAAAGATTTCTTAGATATAATACTAAAAAATGGAAATGTTTTCCTTAGTAGCTAATTCATTCCAGACTCTTTACAATGAGCCCTTAGAGGTGCCTGGATGGCTCAGTCAGTTGAGTGTCTGACTCTTGATTTTGGCTCAGGTCGTGATCTCGGGGTCATGAGGTCCAGCCCGGGATTGAACCCTGCATCTGGCTCCTCACTCAGCAGGGAGTCTGCTTGTGATTCTCTCTCTCCCTTTCCCTCTGACCCTCCCCCCATCTAAAATAATAAATAAATCTTCTAAAAAATAATAAAATAAAATAGAATGAGCCCTTAGCTTAGTAATTTGGTGTGTTCTAGAGCAGCTCTTTTGGTTAAGAGAAACAAAGTTTGCACTAAGGCCATCAAATTTGAAATTCTGATCTGGCTTCTTCCTGCCTTCTTCTTAGGGCAAAATTGAAGTTATATGAAGGGAAGTCTGTCAAGAAGTCTGGCTAGCCTGTTCCTCAATCTTTCACCACATCTCTTCTGCCACTATAACTTTGGTTCATCCATGCATTCATCACTGGTGTCATGGCCTTGACCGTATCTTTTAGCTTTTCCTTTTAAGTTTTGGCTTCTGTTGCTGCCTAATTATTTTGTCATTTTCTAAGTTAGATTCCCAGGAGAGAGAACTTAATTGGCCCAGATTATTTTTAAATGTTCTAGTCTACTAAATGGATATGTCAAAACAGCACTCTGGGCCAGTCAGTGGCTCTAGGGTTGTGAGGACATAGGGAGTTGACTGGCAGGGATCCAAGGGGACAGGTAGGTGTAAAATATTGGTATGTAAAATGTGAACTGTACCAGGGCGCCTGGGTGGCTCAGTTGTTAAGCATCTGCCTTCGGCTCAGGTCATGATCCCAGGGTCCTGGGATCGAGCCCTACATCGGGCTCCCTGCTTGGCGGGAAGCCTGCTTCTCCCTCTTCCACTCGCCCTGCTTGTGGTCTCTCTCTCTGTCAAATAAATAAATAAAATCTTAAAAAAAAAAAAATGTGAACTGTACCTTCGGCTGGTACCAGGAACAGTGGAGTTTCCCTTAGATGGGACCACAGATGTGACAAACACTGTAATAAATATAGTTATTATAAAGTAAAATATTGATGTTTTTATTTTATTCTCCCAGAAACCATTGACCATCTACTTGTTTTCTAGTTAGGCTCTCTTATTATCTAGCCCCCCTATCAATCCATAGTAGTTAGCGAGGTGAGTGTATAAAGTAGGAACTTCTGCCTTTCGTGTAGGGCAGAGGTAGAAGGTATCTGGGAATAGAGGATAAGAATCTTGGATTAGGTGAAGGGTCTCTGACTGGCTCAGTCAATAGAGCATGGGACTCTTGATCTTGGGGTCATGAGTTCAAGCTCCACGTTGGATATAGAGATAACTAAAATTAAAATTAAAAAAAGAATCTTAGATTAGTTGAAAGTTGTTATCAGAGGTCGTTTACTCTATCTCCCTGCTTCTGTTTATAACACTCAAATCATGGCTTTCAGGGAGACAGTAGTCCATCTTCTTGCACTTTAGTCTGAGTTACTAACTTCCAAGGCCAGTTCTTCGTGGTATTTAATCCATTTTTTCCTGATGCGCTTCATAATATCAATCCTATAATGGTCATCCTGATACTAGATTCTGGTGTTCCCTTTTCCCTTGCATGATGCTTATTTTGCTATTTTTCTTTCCCATTAACAACCCACTTTATAAGAAAGCTGAGTTGCTTTTTTTCTTTCTTCCTCAAAGAAACTACTACCCCAAAAAAGTGACACATACTCTTGCTGCTTAGTATTTTTTTACGTAGGCTGACCTTTTTGGTTTGTCATCTTCAATTTTGCTGGGGTCCTTAAATCTTGATTGTCAGAGTCTTAGGATCCCATAGAGAAACTGTGGGATTAGGTTTGTTTGGTTTTCACTTGACTGGAGGAACTGAGCTTGCATTTGCTTTCTCCTACAAGAATTGGTACATATAAGATGGTCAGGCGGTGAATTTGGTTTGGCTAGATTTAATACATCTTGGGGAGATGGAACAGCATGCACTCTGAGGAGAAAGATGTTAATGAGGAGGGGAAGAGTGGTTGCTTACCTAGGGTTTTGCCTTTCAAACTTGATTGTTGCTAGAAATCACTGGTGCAGCTTGCTAAAATGCAGATTTTAAATCAATAGGTCTGGGGTGAGGCTCAACATCTAGGATTCTTCATTTCCAACAAGTTTGCAGGAGATGTTCGTGCTGCTGGCCTGCAGACACACTTAGAGGAATAAGAACATATGGGGTTCATATTCCCATACAGGCATCTCTGAATAGAAGCTCCTTGTATCGCTCTCCTTCATTGCCAGAGAATTTGAACAGGCCAAGACTGAAGCAGGTGGTAAAATTCAAGGACAACCCAGTACCAGATAAAGAAAAAAAGTATTATTCTAGCCACAAAGAGCTCAGGAAGGTAAGAATTTTTTGAGAGTCTTTTTAATCCTCTATCTCATTGTGTTCTCTGCTTTTTTGGTATGAGGATTGCTTTAGGATATCTTGTCTTCTTTCTCATTACTTTTACTTTTATCTCCTTGTTCTTTATGTCTTTCTTGTCTTTTTTACATCTGTACCCATATATAAAATATTTAACAATAAATATCTGTTATATTACACTTTTGGAAATGATGTTGGCATACTTGTCTTCCCAACCTTCTTTTATAAGATTTGAGAGGACACAAGGAAACTGGGAATGGTAAGGATATTTACAGCTGTTTTACCTGCATTCTGACAGAAACAGCATCATGGAGCACACTGGTTTGGTGGGAGGCAACTTTTGAAAAATTTAGCTGTCATTCCCTACCCCTCCTTTAAAAAAAAATCTGAATACTCTTTTATAAAATCAGCATATGATAGTATAGAATTTATACATAAACAAAAGAAGCTATTGTGAAATGCCCATAATCCCATAGGCCAGAGATAATTATTGTCAACACTTGGTATATGTTTTTCTAGACTCTTTGATGCAGGCTTTTTTCTTTTATTAAAGTGATATTACAAAGTATGAGTTTTCTCACTTTCTTAAGGATATCATGAACTTATTTTCATGTCAATGAAATTAATCTACAACCTAACTTTTTATTGCATAATAGTAATCTATAATGTGAAATATGATTTGTTTAACCAAGACTGTTATTTATTAGTAATCTTTCTCTACTATAAACTTGCTGGGATATTCATTTTTACAGCCAAATCTTTGTGCATTTTTTTTCCCCAAAGGGTGTGTGTATTTTTAATAAGTCTCCACTCCTTCCTCTCCTGGTTTTTAAACCTTTAACGTGAAAATTGGCGGTGGGGGGCATCTTGTCATCCTTAGGGCTTAGGTCTAAAGAAGACAGTCTCTCTCTGTGACATTAATATCACTCAGATGCTGGAGGAAGATTCTAACCAGGGCTCTCTGATTGGTGATTTCTCCAAGGTGAGTTTGGTTATATTCATCCTATATTCCATTGAGTCATTTTGGATCTGAGTCTTTTTTTCTTTGCTTGAAGAGGACACTAGGTATAATTATGCATCCTCACCAAGGACTATTTGATAAACTGAAGATGCTATGGTGGTGGATTTAGACCCTAAGCCTTTCCAGTGAGAAAGTATTTCTTATTCATTCTGGGAAAATGCAGAGCACTGGGGAAGGTATGAGGCTTTTTACTTTTTTCTTTTTAAATTAAAATTATGTAAATAATACTTGGTCATTACAGAAAAAGTACAAAATGAAATATACCTCAAGTCTTTTAAAAATATTATTGCTTTTAACATCTTGGTACATATTCCTCCAGACTTTTTTCTATGTATTTTCACAAACACACATGCACATACCCAAATACATTTTTTTGTTCTTTCACAAAAAATGGTTTATACTGTTTTGTGATCCACTGTTTTTTTCCCCCCATCATTTAATGTATCAGGAACATCTTGTTTTTTATTTTTGTTTTTGAAGATTTTATTTATTTATTTACTTGAGAGAGGGAGAGAGAAACAGCATGAGAGCGGAGAGGGTCAGAGGGAGAAGCAGGCTCCCTGCTGAGCCGGGAGCCCGATGTGGGACTCGATCCCAGGACTCTGGGATCATGACCTGAGCCGAAGGCAGTCGCTTAACCAACTGAGCCACCCAGGCGCCCTGTATCAGGAACATCTTTTCATGTCAATAAACAGTTCTGCTTCACCATTTCATAATTTTTAATAGTACAGTATTTCATTTTTTGGGCTGCCCATAATTTTTTAAAAAAATTTTTTACATTTTTTAAATAATCTCCACACCCATTCTGGGGCTTGAACTCAACCCCACAATCAGGAGTTGCATGCTATACTGACTGAGCCAGCCAGGCACCCCTGCTCATAATTTCTTGTAGGATATTTACGTTTACAATTTTTCCTTATGAACAATACCAAGATGGGCATATTTGCAGCTAAATCTAAAACTTTGTGTAAGTCCTTAATTCATTCCTTAGAAGCACTTCTTAGAAATGGAATTGCTGCATATGTGCATTATAGAGACCATTGATTCTTTTGAAGGCATCTGGGGTTTTATTTTTTATTTTTAATTTATTATTTTTTTGAGAGAGAGAGAGCAGGGGGCGGGGTGGTGGCAGAGGGAGAGGGAGAGAGAGAATCTTAAGCAGGCTCCACGCCCAGTGCGGAGCCCATCACGAGGCTCAATCTCACAACCCTGAGATCATGACCTGAGCTGAAATCAAGAGTCAAAAACTCAACCCAGGCACGTCCCACATGGGGTTTTAAAGGTCATTTGGAAAGAAGGACAACATATAGGTCTTTGATCTCAAATTGGGGTGTAGAAAACTTGCTGTTATTTCAGTTCTTGGGTATTTCTAGGTATGTGTGCTGCCAACCGTGTCAGGGAGACACCAGGATCTGAAGTACGTCAACCCAGAAACAGTAAGCAGATTTCTGGAGATGGTACCTGGTTACATAAGCTACCATCTGTTCTGTTCTGTCCCTAAAATCCCTACTTCCATTGTATTTCACTGTGTCCACTCACATAGGCTCCTCATTCAACTGAAGCTGTGTTAAAGAACTCCCATTTATCCCATTCTTTTGCCTTTGTTTTTAATTAAACAAAGGATAGATAATTGTTATGGAAGAAAGAAAGCAAGGAAAGAAGGGAGGGAAGGAAAAAAGTCAAAATCACTCAGTTTGGGCGATCTCACATCCTGATTTAGGTGTTACAATCCCATTGACACCTTTCAGCGCATGGTAATTATTAATAGTATTCTCTTTCACTCTCAAAAGTGTCCTAGTTTGTGCAATAATTATTTGGTCCCCTACCCATAATCTCACCACCAGAGATAACCACTAGTAATATTTTCCTTATGGCCTTCCAGATTTTATTCTGGAATATATTTGATAAAAATAGGATTGTAATGACCATGTAGTGTTGAAATTAGCAAGACATTGTAAACATCTTTCTACCTCAGTGAAACAAATCTATATTATCCTTCTAATGACTATATAATATTCTATTATATTGGCATGTAGAATTTAACCAAACCCCTATTTTTGAAAAAAGATTTTTTTTTAAAGACTTTATTTATTTGACAGAGAGAGAGATAGCGAGAGCAGGAACACAAGCGGGGGGAGTGGGAGAGGGAGAAGCAGACTTCCCGCGGAGCAAGGAGCCTGATGTGGGACTCGATCCCAGGACCCCGGGATCATGACCTGAGCCGAAGGCAGACGCTTAACGACTGAGCCACCCAGGCGTCCCTTCATCATCACTTTTTTTTTTTTTTAAAGATTTCATCTATTTATTTATTTATTTGACAGAGAGAGACACAGTGAGAGAGGGAACACAAGCAGGGGGAGTGGGAGAGGGAGAAGCAGGCTTCCCGCGGAGCAGGGAGCCTGATGTGGGACTCGATCCCAGGACCCTGGGATCATGACCTGAGCCCAAGGCAGACACTTAACGACTGAGCCACCCAGGCGCCCCTTTATTTTTGAACATTTAAGTTATTTGTAACTTTTTAAATTATTGGATAACTTAAGCTAACTAATATTTAAGTTATTTGATAACCTAAAATAATGGCTAAGATGAATATTATTGTGCCACATCTTTGCATACTTTTCTGTTCACTAAAGATGTTGGGAAAGAAATTGCTGAGTCAAAGTATAATTACATTTACATTACAAAGTTCGCCCCAGAAAGGTTGAATCAATGTATACTCCTACAAGTAGCTTAAGGATATCAACCCTGTCCTTCCATATCCTTTCCTGACAGACTTGCTTTCTTCCTTTATGATGGGACCATTTCCCATTTCTTCTTGCAAAGTCGGAATCACTTGCTGCTACCTGTACTACTACAGAAGTCCTTGGGTGTCTCCTGAGGGGCTGATTGCAGCCATGCCTGCCTCCAGATGAGTGCCTTGAATATGCTTTTCCCTGGTGTCTTGGCAATGCCAGCTATTTTGGTGCTCCAGAAAGACCATTTCATATTTTATCCTCTTGAATGAGCGGTAGGGATGAATCATTGCCCCATTTCAAATATAGGGGACCTCTGGAGACTGGGCATACAGTGGAATCCTGGGTGACTAAAGGGAGTGCAAATCAGGAATTGTGTGATTGACTCTTGTCTCCCAGAGTGATAGGGAACATTTCTGTGTAGGTGGCTGCCTTACTGTCAGGGAAGTTCCAGAGTCTGATTGAGAAGTTTTATATCATCGATTGCCGCTATCCATATGAGTACCTGGGAGGACACATCCAGGTGAGGTTACATTGGGGACATTAGTGGGGAGGGGCTGGAGGTAGCTCTTTAATGAGAAGAGTATGTGGACAAAAGTCCTATGAACTCCAGAACCAAGGCAGAGGTTCTACTTTTGGAGCGCATCAAGGCTGCAAGTCCTCATTCCTGTTCTAATTCTGTATACCTTGGGCAATTTACTTTCCCTTTCCCTCCTAGACCAATCTCCCTTTATTCTGTTGGAGCCAAGGGCTCCTACTTGGAAATAAAATATTAATCCAAAGACTGAGAAGCACTTTGCAGACACTCATAGACATTCTTCACAATGATTCCTGCAGATTTAGGGGGGGTCAGATCTACAAACATTTATTGAGTACCTACTACATGCCAAGCTCATGGTAGACCTTGGGGATAGACACAGAGATATAATTAGATCTTATGCCCTGAAAGTGCTTACAGTCTAGACTTCCTGGCCCAAATATCCCAAGATGGTATCCCAGTTATTTCTAAGTGTTGGAACTATCCACAGCCCCTTAAGAAAATACTGAAATTTTTCTACAGGGAGCCTTAAACTTGTACAGTCAGGAAGAACTGTATGACTTCTTTCTGAAGAAGCCCATTGTCCCTCTGGACACCCAGAAAAGAATAATCATCGTGTTCCACTGTGAATTCTCCTCAGAGAGGGGTCCCCGAATGTGAGTGTCTACATGGGTTTGGGTGGGTGTTAGAAATGGCCCTTGAATTGGGACTTAAAAGCAGAGAACCTTCCCAGACCAGTTCAGACAGAGACTGGAATGAATGAATGCATTCTTTCCATTGTAGTTTAAAGGTTAGGGAGGTAGAAAGAAAGGTTTCTACAATTTAAAAGTTTGGAGCAGTGAAGGAAAAAGGATTGGGAATGAGGAGGAGAAAGAGTGACTGCTTGAATCTTGTTTTGCAAAGACAGATCTGGAGGTCCTTTTGGGTTACCCATAGTCTTTTTTTCTTCCTTCCCCTCCCCAGTGAATGGCACATGGAATCCTGACTTTGCTTCTTTCCACCCACCCACCTCTGGGTTTTCTCTAAAGGTGCCGCTCTCTGAGAGAAGAGGACAGGGCTCTGAACCAGTATCCTGCATTGTACTATCCAGAACTATATATCCTCAAAGGGGGCTACAAAGACTTCTTTCCAGAATATACGGTAAAGGATGGGGCATATGGGGCAACAGGAGAGCTCAGGTTTGGGGGGAGCCAACTTGAGCATGCAACTTCCATGGCCTGCAAAGCCCTCTGAGAGGAAACTACTGCTCCTTCTTAGCTACCACCAGCAGCATCTCTATTATACCTCGTAGGGAGTTCTGGAGACTAGAGTATCCCTTACTTTGTCCCCTACCTTTCAGGAGCTGTGCGAACCACAGAGCTACTGCCCTATGCATCATCAAGACCATAAGGCTGAGCTGCTGAAGTGTCGAAGCCAGAGCAAAGCATGGGAAGGAGAGCGGCAGCTGCAGGAGCAGATTGCCTTACTGGTGAAGGATGTGAGCCCATGATAGTGGGTCAGTGGTTGGCTGTCTAGGAGTCACCAAAAGACACTGTAGAAATGCTGAGCAGAAAGAGGCCATGTTGTATGTGGCTAAACCCAAGATTGTTAAAAGATGTCTGCAAACCAACAAGATGCCAAGCTAATGAAATTCCAGGCCTGGGTGTTGGTTTTAGCAGAGCTGCTGGCTGGTGACTGAGTCCTGGAGCTGGCTCTAGAAGGCTGTAGCCTTGAGTTATATGGGGATTTGTTGCTTTGGGAAGTGTTTGCATTCTCTTCCCATTTAGACTTGTCTTCTCACAAGCCAGCCAGCGCTTTCCCTGGTCTTCTGCCTGTGCAAAGAGTTGCCCATCTTCTTTCTCTATACTTGCCTTCTTTGTTTCCTTCTTTCTCTTTTTCTTAAATGGGAAAATAAACACTACAGAATGAGAGATTTGATTGTGAGCCCAGTCTACTCCTAGAAGATCTTTATGAGAAAGAGATCACCAAATTAGTCTCCTTCAGACAAAGGTGTAACAATCTTGATTTATAGCTGAGGCCAAGGTGCTTTTCTCTAGACCAGTGGTTCTCAGATTTGGGCCCTAGACCATAGGGATCATCTGAACTTGTTTGAAATGTAAATTTTCAGGCCTCACAGCAGACCCACTAAATCAAAACCTCTGAGGGCTCAGAATTTGGGGTTTTAAAATTTTTCCCTTTCAGGTGATTCTGATGCATGCTGAGGCTTGAAAACCACTGCTCTGGAATTAAGGAAAAGCTTTTTTTTCTTCTTTTTTTTAGCAAGGGGTGGGGTAGTGGGGAGAGGGAGAGAGAGAAAGAATCTCCCTGCCCAGTTCAGAGCCCGAGGCAGGGCTCACTTAACCAATTGAGCCACCCAGGCGCCCCTTAAGGAAAACCTTTCAAGTTATATTCTTTAGCGGTATCTCAGCTTTCCTTTCCTGGACCATTCCAAGTATGGGATACCTTAAAAGTGTGCCCCACACTCAGCACTCTGTGATAACTAGGCGCAGAAAACCAAGGTGATTGGCATCTCTAAATCAGGTTATAGGTGAGTTGGGCTTTAAAAGATTCCTTATCTACAACCTCAATGGAATTTTGACTTTTCCCATTTCCCAACTCTTTCCTTGACTTCATTTTACATCTCACAGAGATGACTTGGGATAGTTGGAAGTAGAGATATGTTCTGTCTGAAGGTAGGAATAAAAGGATAGAAAAGTAGCAAACGAGCTGTTAGACTTAAGGAAGACCTTTTATTTACTTGTTTTTTTTAGGAAGACCTTTTAAAGTGCATTCTTCGGCACTATCCCAGGCTTTCCATTCTTAGAGCTCTTTAGACAAGTAGGTTTTCGTCTTCGTAGTGAGATACAGCCCTATGGCCTGGGGTGGCAGTGGAATTGACTAAACATTGTCACTCTCCCACATTAACCTAGTGGGAATGCTAGCCCAGGACTAGAAAAGGACAAAGATCTCTGACACCTGGATGAGACAGAATAGAAATAAAAATGACCTCTTCCCGAGTTCTGGAGCAGGGACACCTTTTTTCAGTGAGTGGGAGGGAAGAAGGGCTGTTGCTGGACTGATGTTTGCAAGGTTGGCCAGGGCTCTTCTCCTGGAGTGCTGCGCGTGTGCCTCCCAGCAGAGGGCACTGCTGCATTCTTTAACACAGCTTCTGGGACCCGCCGCCTCCACTGTCTGCTCTTGCCTCTGTCCAGAGGGAAGCTACCTGGCCTTCTCCCCAAGCCCTTGAGCTCAGAGTGAAAGGAGCGAAAAGCTGTTTCCACAGTAGGTGCAGATGGCTGAGGGGGAGATGCTGCTCCTCTGTCCCACCCCCACATACTTACCTGCCAAACAGGTACTCCTGGTGGCCTGAGGAGGAAAATGTTTGATGCACCTCCACCTCCAAGTATGAGGAGGGGGGTCCCAGGACTCACTGCCTAACCTAGTGGGTCATTTCCTGATCATTTTCCCCAGAAAAGTAGAACCAACCCTCCCTACCCCCAAGGAAGAGACTGGTACACATGTTCACATTTCAGTAATCTTAATTAAGTGGAAATTCTGAGTTGCAAAACAAAAACTAGGGCTTAATTAGTTTATCTACTTTGTGAAAAAAATTGTATTTGCCTAAAAGGCACCATTTGCCTATATCATTTCTTATAATATCCTCCCATTGCATAGGTGCCATGCGATTTGATTCATGTTTTTTTTTTTTTTTTTTGAAGATTTTATTTATTTGAGAGAGAATGAGAGAGCGATCAGGAGAGGGGGGAAGGTCAGAGAGAGAAGCAGACCCCCCGCTGAGCAGGGAGCCCGATCCGGGACTCAATCCTGGGACTCCAGGATCATGACCTGAGCCCAAGGCAGTCGCTTAACCAACTGAGCCACTCAGGCGCCCTGATTCATGTTATTTTTAGGAGTAATAATGGTAGCTAACATTTTTCAGGTGCTTACTATATGCAAGTCTTTTTATGAACTCATTTTATATGTATAAACTAATTTAATTTTCACAACAATTCTGTGAGGCAGGTACTTATTATTTTGCACATTTTACAGATAAAGGTATTGAGACACAGAGGGATTAAGTAGCTTGTTTAAGATCACACAGCTAATGAACAGTGGAGTTGGGGTTTGAACCTAGACAGTATGGCTCCAGTGTCTATACCCTGAATGGATTTGCTGTTACCAAATCCTCATCAAAGAACAGTGTGCCTTTCTAGAGTTGACACTGTATTAGACTTTAAATATGTAAGATCCTCAATTATGGATTCTTTATTTTTTTTAAGATTTTATTTATTTATTTGAGAGAGAGAGAATGAGAGACAGAGAGCACAAGAGGGAAGAGGGCAGAGGGAGAAGCAGACCCCCCGCCAAGCAGGGAGCCCGATGCGGGACTCGATCCCGGGACTCCAGGATCATGACCTGAGCCGAAGGCAGTCGATTAACCAACTGAGCCACCCAGGCGCCCTCAATTATAGATTCTTAAGAAGTCAGGGCTATAAGGTTGTTGCTTGGGGTTGGCAGGTGAGGCTAAGTGTTAAGACCCCAGGCTGGAGACCTTGGCATGAAGCATATAGCGGGTTAGCTCTACACTAACACTGACTGTATTTGTTTATCATAAAGTCAAGAAATGAAGATTGGAAACCGTTCTTTCTAAAAACATGGTTTTCAGTCCTAGTCCAGGACCTGGCTGACCTCTGCCATAGAGAAGGGAGGAGCATTTTCCTTTCCTCATCAGGAGTATAAAGTGGGGGGAGGTATGGAAGATTCCCTTTCCCCATTCAGTTCAGGCAAATGTTGAGGAAACACCAGTTCCTTTAAACATATATCTGGGGTTCTCAATTCTAAGTACCACAGGTATTCAGTTATGAAACTGTCCCTTCCCTCAAAAGACTGGCAAGGTAGAGAATGATTCCCTTTTTTCCCATCCCTATACGCAGTCTGGCCCACTGCAAAGAAAAGAAGTACTGTAGCCTCCAGCTCCAAAGCAGCAAGTCTGGTGGTGGCGGCAGGCCAAGTTCGCAGAAAAATTAACTCCTGCACGCTACCTGGAATGATAACATTTATTCAGTGCATGCTCTGTGCCAGGCACTATGCTAAACTCTGTACTCAATATACTTAAATAATCCTCACAACTGTTATATGAAGTAGATACTGTTATTAATTTTACTCATGAAGAAACTGAAGCACAGAAAAATTAAGTGCTGTGCCCAAGGTCATCCAGGCTTTGTTGGAAATGGCAGTTGAATCCAGGCAGTCTATAAAGCTTGTGTTCTTTTTTTTTTTTTTTTAAGATTTTATTTATTTGACAGCGACACAGTGAGAGAGGGAACACAAGCAGGGGGAGTGAGAGAGGGAGAAGCAAGCCTCCCGCAGAGCAGGGAGCCCAACGTGGGGCTCGATCCCAGCACCCTGGGATCATGACCCGAGCTGAAGGCAGACGCTTAATGACTGAGCCACCCAGGCGCCCCAAAGCTTGTGTTCTTTTTTTTTTTTTTAAAGATTTTATTTATTTATTTGACAGAGAGAGACATAGCGAGTGAGGGAACACAAGCAGGGGGAGTGGCAGAGGGAGAAGCAGGCTCTCTGCTGAGCAAGGAGCCCGATGCAGGACTCGATACCAGGACCCTGGGATCATGACCTCAGCCAAAGGCAGACGCAAAGCTTGTGTTCTTGACTATTCAGCACACTGCTAATATCCTAAGTGAGGGTAGCAGGAGGAATTAAAGCTTTCAGTGAGAGAAGGCTTGATAGAAGGCAGAAAAACATGATTACAAATGAAAGTGGAGTAAGATACAAGGTTTTTAGACTGTTGAGCCCAATCAGTGGATTGCAAAGTCTCCCAGGGCAGGGTTTGTCTCTTAATCATTTTTGCACCTGGTTCAAAGTTGAACCCATAATCAGTCTCAAAAGACCTTATTGAATGATGGCTGAATAGCATCATCTTTGTAGAAAGGACAGGCTCATTTGTCATTATCCACAAGGTTCCCAAAGACAAGACTGCTTATCTAGCAGGTGTTGGCAGTCACAGGGGACATGGTTGGTGGGGAGAGGGTGTGCTGGAAGAGCTGGCAATATAAGTGTTGGAGTCATAATTATTTACAGAGGCTTCCTCATCCCTCCCCTACCTTTGGTTTCCAATCGTCATCCAAGGCTCGGTGATGTCAGGCTTTCTACTCCAGTGCCCAGATAGAAAGACACTCCAGCATCTCATTCTCACAAAAAGGTGAGAATTCTGCCTATTACAGGTGGAATTGAGCATTGCTCTTAGCCTAGCAGTCTGACTTTGTTCCTGCCTTCCTGGTCCATTCCATGGGGATGGCACGGAATAGACACTTAGAGTATGCATCCTGAACACATGCCTTTTCCCAGCCTATCCTCCCACCCAAACTTGATTGGGCTTGGTTGCTGAAAGAGGGGAAGAGCAAAGGTGATACCTCTTAACTACCTCCACCCCAACCTCTGTTGATTCATAGGTCTCTCAGCTGTTTCCTAGCATCCCAACCATCTGAAATGGTTGCCATTTGGGGCGCCTTGGTGGCACAGTTGGTTAGGTGTCTGACTCTTGGTTTTGGTTCAGGGCTGATCTCGGTGCTGTGAGATCAAGTCCCAAGTCGGGCTCCGTGCTCACTGAGTCTGCTTGAGTTTCTCTCTCCCCCTGCCATGCGTTCTCTCTCTCTCTCTCTCTCTCTCAAATAAATAAATAAAATTTTGAAATTGTTTCCCTTTGCTTTTTTTTTTTTTTTTTTTAAGATTTTATTCATTTATGTGTGTGAGAGAGAGCAGAAGTAGGGGGAGCGGCAGAGGGAGAGGGAAAAGCAGACTCCACGCTGAGCAGAGAGCCCAACATGGGGCTCAATTCCAGGACTTTGGGATTGTGACCTGAGCTGAAGGCAGACGCTTAACCGACTGAGCCACCCAGGCTCCCCAAGTTACCCTTTGCTTTTAAATCCCATTTTGAAATCGTTGCCAGAGTGGAGTGGACAGTGGGGGCTTTCTGTGCCCAACTACAGCTTTCTGACCTTACTGGAGGAGAAGGCATAGGGAGGTAGTGCGGAGCTGGGGAAAACAGGCCCTGTACAAAAGCTGAGGAGCCAGATGTTCACTTTCACAGCTCTCCTGGAAGACTGGCAGGGCAGATAGAGATTAAAACGAAGAACAAACTCCATTTAAAGTGCATTACAGTTCAGGAACTAGCTCCCCTTGGGCAGGAGAAGGGAGGAAAGGGCACAAGAGGCCACATTTCTCCTTCCTTATCTAGGGCCACATGTCTCTCTCCCAGCTTTGTGAAGGGTGATTTACACCCCTGGCTGGAATGACTCTCTTTCTGGGCTGATTACATCGGCAAATGCCCCCCAGAGGCCATAGTAGGATGGCCATATTCAGAAGCAGCAGCCAATAAATCTCAGAGGTTTATACTGCACTTCTCAATACCCTCCTCCTGGCCCTCTGCCAGGCCTCTGTACAAGTGAGGAAAGGGCTTGGGCTGCAGGGATAGGGGGTGAAACCCTCCACTTTTTTCATCATCCTATCTCTTTCTAAGCACTTAGTTGTTCTTCCAAGTCATTGTGTCTCTGTTTTTACCCTGGGAGCACGTGGGAATCAACCCTATGCCCAACAAATACCCTTACCTTGTGGGTAGAAATCCTGGGCTTTGGGCACAGCTGTGTTTCTACCTCGCTGTTTAATCTTAGTAGAGTAGGTTGTTTTCTGAAACATCACCTAAAAAGATGAGGAGAGGGGCGCCTGGGTGGCTCAGTCGTTAAGCGTCTGCCGGAAGCCTGCTTCTCCCTCTCCCACTCCCCCTGCTTGTGTTCCCTCTCTCGCTGTCTCTCTCTCTCTGTCAAATAAATAAATAAAATCTTTAAAATAAATAAATAAATAAAAATAAAAAGATGAGGAGACTCCTAAGTGGCCTTTCTAGCCATCTTCCTCAGCGATCCTGTGTTCCTCCAGGTAATTCCCTAATCCGAGGAGAGTTTAATCCTTCCACGCTCCCTCGTGACACTGACTTTTGGAGGAAGCTAGTCTGGCATAAGTCCTGGGATCTGGCCCCAGAATTGCCCTCAGCACAGCCATTTCACCTGTCCGGGACCTATCTTTGCAGAATCATGGAGTTAATGATAACAGCCCTAGCTTACCCTTGAAGTTACTTCAAGGGGAAATGGAGGCATGGATGTGCAAATTCTAAGAGGAAAAATAAATACCAAACTGAAACTGCCCTCGTGCTGGTTTATTCAACTTTTGCTACAAGATTTCACTTGTGGTTCCTGGAGGGGGTGGGGGTCCAGCAAGTGAGAAATGGCGCTTTTTTTGATAATTCCTTGGACCCCCCAGATGGCGGCTCTCCAGCGGCAGCTGCCACAATTGTCTTGGGCAGAATTCTCCCAGAGGGAAGTGGGCAGCGGACCGCAGGTGGGCAGGCTCGGGTAGAGCACCCTCTTGCACGCGGAAGCCGCGGCGCCTGACCTCGCTCGCCCCCACCCCCGCCGCCTTCTCCAGAGAGTAGAAGCAGCGGTGTGGTGCGTCCGTGCGCTTCGGAGTTGGAGGGCGGCGCCCAGGACCCTGGTGGGCGAGTGTCGGCTCAGCTCGAGGAGGGGCGGGAGGCGGCGGGGGGCGGCGGCGGTCCAGAGCCCCGCGCGCAGAGCCTCGGCGCGAGGAGCGAGGGGGAGCGCGGCGCCCGGCGCTGGCACAGCGTCTCGGAGGGGGCCGGCCGGCGTGCGGACCGAGCCATGGCGCGTCCTCCGCACCCGCGAACGCTGCCGCCCGTGCTCCTGCTCCTGCTGCTGGTACCGCTGCCGCTCGGAGCCGGTGAGTGTCGTCTGTGCGTAAGCGGGCCGGTTTGGCCAGGGCGTTCGGGGGAGGGGAGAGGAGCGTAGGCGGGGCGCCGGTCACAGGTGTCCATCTGACCGAGGAAGGAAGCCCAGGGTGCCGGGAAGGGGATGCCTTCCATGCCTAATACAGTTTTTGAACTATTATAGATGGAGTGCTAGCCATGGCCAGGACACCCAAGCATCTCCTCTTCCCCCACCCCCCACCCCCCGCGCCCAGTCCAGACGCACCTCTTTTGAGGGGATCTGCACAGACAGAACAGTTGCAAAAAGCCAGGCTACTTCCACGAGAGCATCTCTAGAAGGCGGGAAGAATCAGAAGCAGGACTGCCATTTGCTCCACATGGGCTTCAAGCCTTCCACTCCCTGTAAGGACTGGGGAAGTGGACTCTAGGTACGGATGAAGAAAGAGAAATTTTTGTTGAAACCGACTTGTCACAAATTAGGGTTGTAAACTGCTGCTAAAATTTGCTAACATCATTATTTGGGAATATTTCTCGTCACCAACCTACTCCCACCCCCTACCCTTTCAGGACATATTTTTATTGTTTTAATTGGAGCAGAAGACTTGCTATAGGGGAAGATGGCTCAGCACAGTGCCTTGCCCTATTATAGATACACAATAGGTATTTTGTGGAATATATAGTTCAAGGTCTGCCATTGCCATTCCGCCGGGATGGGTAGCCTGGGAGCCATGATCCCAGGGAATATGCCCATGACCTTTGGGAGTGGGATGGGTGCATGGAATCTTATTGTAGGACTCCTGCACAGAACCTGAGTGGAGGAAATCCTGAGGCAGAGATCACACATGGACCCATCACCTCGGTCCACAAAGTGGTACTGCAGAAATACAATCTTGACTGTAAAACAGATATGGAAGGGAAACGCTGGTCTGTCCAGATTAACTCCATCAGTAAATCAGGGCAGCAAGGTATCGCCAGTCTGATTTGACTGCCCAAAAAATTTCATTAGCCCTAACAGTATAGCTGCACATCAAGATCAGGGGTAAACATTAAACACCTTCCTCATTAACCAGTTAAGTGTAGCAGGTTCCCCCCTGTTATGATAAAATTTAACATTGCCCCTACTTTTCTTTTGTTTAGCTGCAATTGCTCCTAAATCCACCACTGTTCAGATTCAGTGAACTATCAGCTATGAAATAAGAGAGGTTTACTTTTGAAAATTGTTGGGACTCAATATTTAGTCCAGTTTAAGCAATGAGACTTATACTTGTTACATTTCTTTCATTAGGCACTTACTGGGTACCTACCAGAAGTAACCTCTTAAACATTTAGTATTTCTCAAACTGCTGAAATCCCTGTTTCCCTTTTGGTAAAGATAAATATCTCATGCCTTCCCTAAATCTGTTTTTGAAATTTAAAAGCTTTTTTCATCTTCCACATATATAATGATCAAATGTGTTTTTTTGAACCACCCATTACCTTTGGAAATTCTGATACACCCCTTAAAGGAGCCTAACCTGTCTCTTCCCTAGCCCTCCTTTGAGAAACACTGGTTTAATCCAATCCCTCACCTTACATTTGGGCAACTAAGGTCCAGAAAGTGAAGGCAGGACTGGGACTAAGGTGAATGAATGAAGGGGTTGCAAAGAAACAGTAGTCAAGATAAAGAATATTTTAATGCAGTATTTTTTAAAAGAGTTTTTAGTTGTTTTTTTTTTTTTTTAAGTAATCTCTGCATCCAACATGGGGCTCCACCATCTGAGCCAGCCAGGTGCCCCTCAATGCAGTATTTTTAAAAAATCAAAATCAGTGCTCGCTTCAGCAGCACATATACTAAAAATCAAAATCAGTGCTCCCCCCCAAAATCCATGGTGAGCAAAATATCAAAATTTAAATAAAAAGAGTGACAATGCCATGCTGAAGCTTACTGGAGCCTGAAGCAAAAGGTGTAATCAATACTACTGATCCTGCCTTTGTTTGTGCATTGGATGTGACCAGTTCTCAGGGTGCATCATATTTTCCAGTGAACTTGCTAAAACTCAGATTCCCAGGCATTATCACCAGAGACTGATTCAGTAGTTCTGGGATGGGGTCAGAAATCTGCATTTTAATAAGCAATCTACTTGATTATCATTTGATTGGAAGAGAAGGTTGGACTGACTAAACTCAGATTCCTCCTAATTTTGGCACTTCGATTTTTTTTTTTTTTTAGGATTTTATTTATTCATTTGAGAGAAAGGGAGAGCACAGGCAGTGGGGAGGGGCACAAGGAGAGGGAGAAGCAGGCTCTGCCTCCCCCCAGCAGGGAGCCCAATGTGAGGCTCAATCCCAAGACCCTGGGATCCTGACCTGAGCCAAAGGCAGACACTTAACTGACTGAGCCACCTGCGCACCCGGGCACTTTGATTTTAAGTAGAGGGAAGGGGCTCAGGGAAATTACAGAGGTGGCAGAATTTCTCTGTTATTTGGTTATTTCTTAAACAGGAGGAGCTCATAAAAAACAAGCACTGTTCTAGGCACTGGCAATAGAGTAGTGATAAGATAGATGTGGAAGTCTAGACGGAGAGATAATAAAAAATCAAGTTAAAAAATCAAGTAATGAAAAGTGCTATGCAGGGGCGCTTGGGTGGCTCAGTCGTTAAGCGTCTGCCTTCGGCTCAGGTCATGATCCCAGGGTCCTGGGATCGAGCCCCGCATCGGGCTCCCTGCTCCGCGGGAAGCCTGCTTCTCCCTCTCCCACTCCCCCTGCTTGTGTTCCCTCTCTCGCTGTGTCTCTCTCTGTCAAATAAATAAATAAAATCTTAAAAAAAAAAAAAAAAAAGTGCTATGCAGAGTTTTGGAGTAATGATGTGGTAGAGTAGCTAGGGGGTTATTTTCAATTGGTTTGTTGGGGATGGTCTTTCTGCAGTGACATTTAGGCTCAAAAGTGAATTATTAGAAGGGGCCAGCCACGTGAAGATCAGGGGGAAGAGCATTCCAAACAGAAAGGCTAGGGCAAAAATGCTAAGGTTGACACAGGCTTGTCTGGTTCAGTGGCAACAGAAAAAAGGCTGGTGTGGGTGGAAGGAAGTGGGAGAGGAAGAGAGGGCTAGGAGGTAAGGTTAGATAAGTGAGCAGGGAACAGGGTGCATAAACTAGATCCGAATCTAAGTGCATTGGAACCTGTTGGAAAAATTTAAGCAGAGAAATGAGATAATCTCATTTACAATATTTAAGAGATGATCCCATGTAATGTAGAATTATGTTATATTCACATAATGGAATGATACACAGCAAGAAAAATAGAAATAAGGTAGTTACAACCATACTTAATAGTGTGGGTGGGGATGCCTGGGTGGCTCAGTCATTAAGCGTCTGCCTTCCGCTCAGGTCATGATCCCAGGGTGTCTGGGATTGAGTCCCACATCGGGCCCCTTGCTCAGCGGGGAGCCTGCTTCTCCCTCTGCCTGCCACTCCCCCTGCTTGTGCACGCACATGCTTTCTCTCTCTCTCCCTCAAATAAATAAATAAATAAATAAATAAATAAAATCTTTAAAAAAAATAGTGTGGGTGAACTTCATAAACATAATATTGAGCAAAAGAAACCCAGACACCAAAAGCACATATTGTATGACTGAAAAACAAACAAAACTAATCTCTAATGTTAGAAAATCAAGACATTGATTTCCTTTGGAGCGGTTGGTGACTGGCAGAGGGCATCTGGGGAGCTGGTAATGTTCTGGTCCTTTATCTGAGGTCTGGTTACACAGTCTACTCAATTTGAAATTCATTGTACTGTACATTTTGATTAATGCATGTTTATGTATGTTGTGCTTCAATGAAAAATTATTATTATTTTTTTTTTAAAGATTTTATTTATTTATTTGAGACAGAGAGAATGAGAGACAGAGAGCATGAGAGGGAGGAGGGTCAGAGGGAGAAGCAGACTCCCTGCCGAGCAGGGAGCCCGATGCGGGACTCGATCCCGGGACACCAGGATCATGACCTGAGCCGAAGGCAGTCACTTAACCAACTGAGCCACCCAGGCGCCCTTCAGTGAAAAATTATTACCAAACATGATATACAAATGATAAACAAGCACATGAAAATATGCTCAACATCATAAGTTTAAGGGAAATGCTAATGGAAACCGCAATGATATGCCAGCCAGCTCACACCTGTAAGGATGGCTGGTTAAAAAAAAAACAAAACACACAAATCAGAAAATAACAAGAGTTGGCAAGTTTGTGGAGAAATTGGAACCTTTGTACAATGCTAATGAGAATGACAAATGGTGTAGCCACTGTGGAAAACAATTTGGTGGTTCCTCAAAAAGTTAAACATAGAATTACCATATGACCCAGCAACTCCACACGTAAATATATATCTAAAAGAATTTTATACAGAATTCAAGCAAATACTTGTACATGAATGCTCACAGAAGCCCTATTCACATTAACTAAAACATGGAAACATCCCAAATGTTCATCAACTGGTGTATAGATAAACAAAACATGGTATATCCATACAATGAAATATTACTCATCCGTAAAAAAGTGAAGTACTGATATATGCTACCATGTGGATGAACCATAAAAAGCAGTATGTTAGGTGAAAGAAGCCAGATACAAAAGATGATGTATTTTATGATTCCACTTGTATAAAATATCTAGAATGGGTAAATCTGTAGAGACAGAAGGTAGATTAGTGGTTGCCGGAGACTAGGGGGGAGGGAAATGGAGAGTGACCGTTTAATGGCTGTGGGCTTTCCTTTTGGGGTAATGAGAATATATTGGAGTTAGGTAGATGTGATGGTTGAACAACATGTGAGTATACTGAATGCCACTTAGTTATGCCCTTTAAGCTGGTTAATTTTATGTTGCATGAATTTCACCTCAATGAAAATGATTTCCAGCCTAAAAATTTTTCATTAAAAAAGGTGGCTGCAGGGCGCCTGGGTGGCTCAGTCGGTTAAGCGACTGCCTTCGGCTCGAGTCATGATCCTGGAGTCCCGGGATCGAGTCCCGCATCGGGCTCCCTGCTTGGCGGGGAGTCTGCTTCTCCTTCTGACCCTTCCCCCTCTCATGTGCTCTTTCTCATTCTCTCTCTCAAATAAATAAATAAAATTTAAAAAAAAAAAAAAAAGGTGGCTGCAAACAACAAAATGGTAGTTACGTGAGGTGAAGGATGTATTAACTAATCTTATTGGGTCAATCACCTCACAGTACATACAGGAATCAAATCATCACATTGCATACCTAAAACTTACACAATGTTGTATGTCAATTTTATCTCAATAAAGCTGGAAGACAAAACAAAACAGAAAGATGGCTGAATGGTATGGGAGAATGAATTTGGAAGATGGAATCAGGGAGACCAATAAAAAGTCTTGGAAGTAGTTCTGACAGGAGTTGATGGTGGTTTGAGCTAAGGAGGCAGTGATAGGTGAGAGAAGTGGACAGATTCCTGATATATTGTGGAGTTGACAGGACTTGTTGGATTAAACAGGAAAGAGAAGAATTAAAAATGATTCCCAGAAGTTTTGCCTTGCAAAACTGATGACATGATGGCATTCTGGTACCCTTTGATAGGGATGCTAAGTTCTAGGTTGTAGGGTCTTCCACAAGGGCTGACTTATAACCAACCTTAGTATTCTTGAGTGACAGAATCAGCAAAAGCTCCCCAACTCCAACACTGACCCTTTCCCCCTGGAAGGTATTTTTAAGTGACTTTTAATGGAAGCTTCAGAGTTGTTGTTAAGTGTCATTTAGCACTACCATGCACACGGTCAACTCTCTGGTTATACTAGCCCTGCCCATGCATTGCTCTGCCAAGGGCCCTCTTCTCTGTGCCTGGCAGGGTCATGAGGCTCAGCTTCAAACAACAGTCTCCCTTCTCCCAGGGGGCTGAGAAGCCTCTCTTCAAACCTGCCTCTTCTTGGACCTGATCTGTTCTGTCCAAATTGTGACAGCTACAGATTCTTTACTCCTGCGGGGCTTTTCTCCCCACTTATTCCTAAAGGCCTTTGTGCCACCCCAAGACTTTCCTGCCCAAGGTTTGGTCTTGAATCCCCCCTACTCTACCTTACAACTTGTTACTCCCAGGCAGCTACTCTGACCTCATGTGAGCCTCACCTGGTCTCTCTTCCTCCACAACAGACCCCCTCCCCACCGAGGGCCGGCTGGTGAACAGCTGTATCCAGGCCAGGAGGAAGTGCCAGGTCGATCCTATTTGCAATGCTGCCTACCACCACCTGAATTCCTGCACCTCTAGTGTAAGCACCCCATCACCTTCACAGGAGCTTTTGGCCCCTGAGGAGTGCAGGGAGGCAGCACAGCACCTCAGGAATAGCTCTCTGATGAGCTGTACATGCCACCGCCGCATGAAGAACCAAGTTGCCTGCCTGGACATCTATTGGACCGTTCACCTTGCCCGCAGCCTTGGTGAGGCCCCCATTATAGAGTGGACTCAGCTAAGGAAGATGGCTCTTGTGGGTTGTTGTTTAATCCTGCAGAATATAGGCCAGATGGGTAGATTCTGACTAGGGTGGTAATGAAGCTCTGCATTTGACATCAGTAAGAAGTAGAGGGAAGACTTGGCAATATCTTTCTGGGCACCCACAACACTGCCCTCTCTTCTCCCTACTTCCCCCTTTCTTACCTGGTCACATGTAACTGCCTCTTGGCAGAAATCTGACCCAGGCTGAGGCCCAACCTGGGCAGCTCCTGGAACAGAAGAAGCGTATGGACAGGATGTGGAGGGAAATGATCTTAACCCATTCACAGATTCCAAATACAATGTAATCCATAAGGTCAGAGAGACTGGGAGGCAGCGTCCTGGTCCTGCCTTTAACAGAAAGGATACTCATTAACCAGACAGAAGGTAGTAAGAGAAGACACTGGAATAGCCAAAGAGAGAAGAGCTTCCTCTTACTCTTTCCAGAAAGGTGTCTACCTTTCTGTATTAGCCAGTTTTTACTGGACTATGCTGCAATAACAAAACAGTGACTTGTAAAACAAAAGTTTAGTTCTTGCTCATATTCTGTGTTAGCTGTGTCATGTGTCCTCTTCATTTTTGAATCCAGGCTGAAGGTACCGCCTCCATCTGGGAAGTTCTTTTCTCCTGGCAGAGGGAAATAAGCAATGACAGAAGTATGTGATGCCTTTAAAAGCTTCTACACAGATGTTACATGAAATACTTATGCTCACATTCCATGAACAAAGCAGATCCCATGACCAAGCCTGACATCCCTGGTGAGGGGGAAGTATACTCCTCCCACAAGAGACCCTGAAAATCACATGGCAATAAGTGAGGATATATAATCTTACAGGGAGGGCAAAAATAGTCGGAGATAATATACAAGCTACCATAGTCCACTATTTGGTTAAAATACTCATTTCTCTCTCTTCCACAAGCAAAATATATCAACCCCCTTCCTTCTTTTCTTTTCTTTCTTTCAGATTTTTTATTTTTAAGTAATCTCTACACCCAATTTGGGGCTCAAACTCACAACCCCAAGATCAAGAGAGTTGCATGCTCTTCTACCTGAGCCAGTCAGGTGCCTATCAACCCACTTTCTAAGGAAGATACCCTAAGTGTTCTATCCAAGCAGTACATCAGGTTCCCAGTCTAGGATCTTGTGATAATTTCTGTCAGGTCTGGATATGACTCTTCTTGATCTATCTACCTATGGACAAAAAGGACAGGTCATCTGCCTCCAATATATATTCTGTATACAACAGTGGAACAGGGACAGGAGAACACAACACTCTCAGGAAGGGGAGGAATGGGAGGCACACAGCAGACATTGCTCATAGTTGTTCTGATGTCCTACTACATAAACATTGTAAGGGCCATCTTCCCTTGGTAGTGGGCACTGCTCTTTAAGGTTTTGTTTATTTATTTGTCAGAGAGAGAGAGACAGCGAGCGCACAAGCTAGGGAAGCTGCAGGCAGAGGGAGAAGCAGGCTCCCCGCTGAGCAAGGAGCCTGATGGGGGACTCGATCCCAGGACCCTGGGATAATGACCTGAGCCGAAGGCAGACACTTAACCGACTGAGCCACCCAGGGGTCCCGGCACTGCTCTTTAATAAGGCTCTGCTTTTGCTCCTTAGGAGAGTTGCTTTATCTGTTGTTTACCAGGGCTCTTGGCCCAGCCCCCCTACCCCTGGCAGGTCCTTCCTTTCCCATTATTTTCTTTGGCCATGTCTAAGGATATTGGAGACTCCCACTTCCTTGAGGAGTGAACAGCATTCTCAGCTTGCTTGCTACCTGAGGAATGTTGGGAACATTTTCAGACTCCAGTAGAGTCTATTTGAATCCAGGCTGGTGGCTCTTAGCAGTACAACTCTCTCAAAACTTAATTGCTTTTTATATCTTTGGTTCCTGTCACCCCATGTGCCAGTAGCCTTCCCAATAATTCTTTTCAAGATATGTGTCTCTATCTAGACCTAATTAGAAGTATCTTGCTCGGGGCACCTGGGTGGCTCAGTCGTTAAGCGTCTGCCTTCAGCTCAGGTCATGATCCCAGGGTCCTGGGATCGAGTCCCGCATCGGGCTCCCTGCTCAGCGGGAAGCCTGCTTCTACCTCTCCCACTCCCCCTGCTTGTGTTCCCTCTCTCACTGTCTCTCTCTCTCTCTGTCAAATAAATAAAATCTTTAAAAAAAAAAAAAAAAAAGAAGTATCTTGCTCTTACCAGGCTTCTGTGGGAGAGTCACTACCCTAGTCTTTTGTCTCTGAGCATATTTGTCTAACTGGCAGGATTTATTGATACCATCTTAATCAATGAGAGATCTCCGCAAAGGGCATGATAGCCATATCATTGAATTGGTCTTTGCCCTAAGGCTGAGTTGTAATCGACCTTATTACACAAAGCATCTTCCAATTTTATCTTTTACTATTTGAATATGAAAAACAGTTGCATATCTTAATCCTACAAATCCTCAAATTTCTGGATTGTTTCTTTTCTTTTTCCTCCCTATTTGCAAACTGGCCATTTCTCTGAGCTTTTGTCTTTCTTGTAGACCTTGCAAAATGCAGCCAATAGCGATCAAGACATACTAGAACCTTCTGCTTCTCAGCTTCTTTCCCTTAAAGCACAATGTCATTCAGTACATCTTTCTTCCAAGTTATTGCAGGGCAACAATTTTACCAAATGCGTTGCCACTGCATATTGAGGACTGCTATTTTTCATATCCCAGGAACAGCTTATTCACCATCCACTCACTGCCCAGTTCCAAAGCCAAAACCACACATTTTAGATTCTTTGCTGTTATTGCTGCAATCATTTCTAGATACCAGTTACATTTTTAATAAGAATTTGCTAGGTTATGCTGCAGTAAAAACCAACCAACCCCCACATATCTGGCCTTCCACAACAAAATTTTCATTTTTGCTCATTACACATCTGCTGTGGGGTTCCTTGAGTTAGCTTTGTCTTTGCTCTACCTGTCTTCCTCTTTCTAGGACCCAGGCTGGTAGAGGGAAAAGAACAGCAGCAGGATAATGTAATGGTTCGTAAAGCTTCTGCTCAGATGTGATTTATGTCAGTTTAGCTTACAGTCCACAGGCCAGAGCAAGTCACATGGGTAATCCTTACAGTAGGGTGTAGAAGTATACTCCTTTCATAGGGGGCCTGAAAGTCACATGGCAAGGGGTGGTGGGGGTGGTGGTGTATAATTCTCCCACAGGGTGGGTAGCTAGCATGTAACTGGAAACAGTAATACAATTTACCACACTTTTTGTTCCTTGTTTTCCACTCCTCGTCCTTTTTTTTTTTTTTTTTTAAAGATTTTATTTATTTATTTGAGAGAGAGAGAATGAGAGACAGCACGAGAGGGAAGAGGGCAGAGGGGGAAGCAGACCCCCTGCCGAGCAGGGAGCCCGATGTGGGACTCGATCCCGGGACTCCGGGATCATGACCTGAGCCGAAGGCAGTCGCTTAACCAACTGAGCCACCCAGGCGCCCTCCACTCCTCGTCCTAATCAGTTCTCTTTGAGAGCTTCCCCAGAGACTTCTCCCTGGATCCTCTTGCCTTCCCAACTTTTCCCTTGAGAAAAGTCTTTCAGGTCTTCCCAAATATCCAGACCATCCTTTCTTATCTGCTTGACATCATCCATATTTCTTCCCTCCTGAAGATGCATTCTCAAAGGCATATTGGGTGACACCTTGCATCCTCTCACCTCTCTCTTCCAACAAGATTTATTACCCAACATTTATTGAGTACCTACCATGTCTATGAGCTATGCAGTGACTTTATAAGACCTATTATGTCTCCTTAAGGAGCCCACAGCACCCTGCGAGTGACTGGGAAAAGTATGTTACCTCTGAGATCATTGTCTCTTCCAGAGTTCTCTGCTTTTCCCAGTCTGGTTCAGTTTGGGACCGGGACTCAAAGCCACGTCCTCAGCATGCGATGTGTCTCCATAGCTAGGTGGTCAGGTCTAGAACAGAGTCTACTACTGCCCCTTCCTCAACAGTAAGAGACAACAAGACAGAGTCCCCTTGCCTGCTTCTGTACCCACAGGCCATATGTCTAGTGGTTAGGAGTGGAAACTCTGGAATCAGATAGTCCAGGTTTCAAGTCCCAGCTCCACTTTTTAGCCTCTGTGAGCCTGAGCAAGTGACTTAACCTCTCTCAGCCTGTTTCTTCTTACCTACCCAAAGGCTTCTAGGAGGACTGAGATTGAATTTTTTCTTCTTTTTTACTGATGCCGTGGTGCCCAGTGCACAGTGTACTCAACAAATATTAGCTTTATTATTCTTATCATTAAACTCGTGGTATTCATTGAGCCCAGCCCATACCTTTATGGCCTTGCTTTTTTTTCTCACCTCTAACTGCTTGCAGCTAGTTCGGTAGAGACTGTGCCTTTTCCTTTTTTCCACAGGGCTTTGAGGGCTGACCCAGCAGCCTCAGCCCCTCCTGCTCCCACCCCCCAGCCCGGTCCTCAGGATTCTTGTCACCTTGTCTCTAGGTGACTTTGAACTGGATGTCTCCCCCTATGAAGATACAGTGACCAGAAAACCCTGGAAAATGAATCTCAGCAAACTGAACATGCTCAAACCAGGTATGGAGGGCAAGCTGAGGCTGGGGCATGAGGGGTGGGCCTGGACCCTGAAGGAAGAGTGGCTGGTGGGGAACACAAACCAGAGGGCATGTTGGGGGAGAGTTCTAGTCTGCCAGGTAACTAAAGAAGCATTGTGTCAGGGTGGGAGTCTGAGCTGTGGGCATGGTGTGGTCTTATGAGTCAACAAAGAGCACTAGGTATTAGGGAGGCATTTGAAGAGAGCCCATTAGGGTTCCAAAAGATGGGTCTCTACAAAGGGTCTGATGGAGTGGCAGTAGTCCCAGAAAAAAATATGCTGAAATGAAGTATTTACCCTTATTCGAGGCAGCCAGGAAAGTAGCTTTTTGTCCCTGAAGACTAGGAAATTGCTTGTTTTCAAACCATTCTAATGGGATGGGCGAGGTGTTGGACTGGGAATATGGTGAGAGAGAATGTGACTCCTCAGGGGTGACTCAGGGTGGGAGCCATCTGTCTGGCAAGGATTAAAATGCATGTTTTGGCAGCTCTTTCTGTCCATGGGTCCTGTCCCCATGCTTTAATAAAATCACCATTTTGCACACACACACACACACACACAAATAAATAAATAAATAAATAAATAAATAAATAAATGCATGTTTTTCAGGACATTGGGGCTGTTGTGTTAATTGGGAAGGAGCACACACACATGCACTTGCTTTTTGAGAAAGATGTGAGCTTTGTTGTACAATCAGTCCTATATATTGGAAATAGAATTTTCAGAGAAAAGCATAGAGATTTATACATAAACTCTTAGTTACAAGGAATCTGGGAATAACCTGTTCCAGTCACTCCATTGTTCTGACTGCTAGAATATTCTGTTAATAGTAATAGCACCATAATTTCCCAAGACTCAGAGTATGGGGAGCTTTTATGCATACATCAGTCATTAAAAACAGGTGTTATTAAAACTGGGCAGAATAGATGCAAAACAAAACAGATATTCTAGGTAGAATTCGGTTGCATCTGTTTCTGATGGTTCAGAAAGTGCTTTAGAATGTTAGGGGGCCTCTAGCTAATGATTTCTACCATGAAATTTCACTCACTGCATACAACTGAGGAAGAAGGCGTTTCAGTTGAGCTTTCTGGCCGCTTCAATTCTAGGTAAATGAGCGCGATAGACAGATGATAGATAGCTTCTATTTCTTTTATTTATTATTATTTTGTTGTTTTTGTTGTTTTGTTTTGTTTTACACCTAGGCAAACTGAGGAGTAGGATGAGGGAAGCTCACAAATAACAGATACAATTTATGGGTAGTGGGAAAGCCACGGATTAGCAGTGGCGGTATTCAGGGTAGTCGTCACTTTCCTCCTATCCCCACCACCGTCCATGTTAAATCGGAGGGCTGCAGGGGTTCCTAGCAACACTGGGCTGCCCGTTTGCAGAGACGACTGGTGACTTGGTGCCCTTCTCCCCCCCAGACTCAGACCTCTGCCTCAAGTTCGCCATGCTGTGCACTCTTAATGACAAGTGTGACCGGCTGCGCAAGGCCTATGTGGAGGCGTGCTCGGGGTCCCGCTGCCAACGCCCCACCTGCCTCCGGCAGCTCCGTGCCTTCTTTGAGAAGGCGTCGGAGCCCCACGCTCAGGGCCTGCTCTTGTGCCCGTGCGCACCCGCCGACCAGGGCTGCGGGCAACGCAGGCACAACACCATCGCCCCCAGCTGCGCGCTGCCGTCCGAGGCCCCCAACTGCCTGGAGCTGCGGCGCGTCTGCGTCTCCGACCCGCTGTGCAGGTGCAGGTGCCGGGTGTGGGCGGGCAGGGTGGGCGAGGGCGCCGTGCACAGCGCTCCTTCTCCGATGGCCGCCTGCCTGTGCGGGGCCGGGTTTGCCGCCCAGGGACCGTGGAATGACTTCACCCCGTAGCTCCCTTCAGAATTTTCTGAAACCCTTTTCTCAAAAAGCTTTGTGTAAAGACTTTGTGTAAAAACTTCAGAAAATATCAAAACATATAAAATAGCACTCAGAATCCCTCACCTGAAGATAATCCACATCCTTTGGAGAGGGTTTCCTTCCAGTCTTTTCTGTATACAGATAAACCAAACGATATTCTAGAAATATATTTGTACCTTGCTTCCCCCCGCCCCGCCCCCACTTATGTGCATATCTCATGGGCGTTTTTCTCTGGAGGCAGTATGGGATAGTGGTGACCACTGGCTCCGAAGTCAGACAGATGTGAATTTAAAGCCTGGGGCTGTGTGACTTTGAGCCCATCACTTTAGCCTAAAACTGCATCGCTTAACCTAACGTTCCTCTTAGTCCTCTGTAAAAACTGGGATAATAATACAGATCTCATGGGATTCTGGTGAGCGTTAAATTGCATAATTTATGTAGATGCTTAGCTTACTGGTGCAGAGTAAGTGCTCAATAAATGGTGGTGCTTATTTTGTCTTTTACTGTCCTTCCACAACTTGATTTTTAAATGCCTACATTGTATTCCGTTTTATGGATGCCCCATACTTTATTTAATCCTTCCTCTATTGTTGGATATTTAGGTTGCTTTCTTTATTGCTATAAATAATGCTACAATAAATATCACTCGTTCATTTTTTTTTAAGATTTTATTTATTTATTTGTCAGAGAGACAGAGAGAGAGCACAAGCAGTGGTAGTGGCAGGCAGAAGGAGAAGCAGGCTCCCCGCCGAGCAAGGTGCCTGATGCGGGACTCGATCCCAGGATCCTCGGATCGTGGCCCCATCCAAAGGCAGACGCTTAACTGACAGAGCCACCCAGGCATCCCTCACTCTTGTTCATTTTTGCGCACAAATCTAATTATTACTTAGGACGTGTTGCTACAAATGCCAATACCAAATCAAAGTATGTGATGATCTGTAAGATGTTTGATACATATTCTCCAGAAATTCCGATCTGGCTTTCCTCTGCCTCCTCAGGACAAAACACTCACCAAATTGAAGTTATCACCCATTCAAGTAGCATTTGCTGACAATGAGAGTCACCCCACCTTGTTTTGCAGCCTGGTTCTAGCCCTTATTTCTATGTAACCTTGAGCAAGTTACCTAACCTCTCTGAGCCCCACTTCCTTCTTCTCTAAAGTGTTACACAAAAGCTCTCAATCATCGGTACACCAACACTTACTGAGTACTTACTATGGACTAGGTACTGTTTTAGATACTATGTATTAACTCATGTAAACCTTACAAGAACCCTGTAAGATAGCTGGTATTGTCGTTTTTTATCATCTTCACTTTACAAAGAAGAAACCACAGCAGAGAAAGTTTAAATAGCTTGTTGAGGTTCATCCAGGTAATAAGTCGGGTTGCTTAATGAGGTTTGGAATGAAGTCTGGCCTAACCGCTTGGCTACACTGCCTCTTACGTTCGTAGCTGCTACTGTTACGTAGCAAGTGCCCGGATAGATGGCTAAGACACTGTCCTTCCCTTCGAGGAATTTGCATTTGGGGGGCGGGTGACAGAGAAGTAAACCACCCATCTAACAAAAGGCAAAATGTAAGGAAAACTGCAGAAGTATGTACAGAAAAACATACTTGTAATTCTATCACCTGAAGATAACCAGCTTTACCTATTATAGGATCAGTGTGAATAATAACAATATCTGACATATAACGAACACTTCGCATGTACCAACCACTATGCTAAATGCTGTATATGCAATCTCTTATTTCATCCTCACAAAAACCCACTTGGAACTACGGTTTTCATTTCTTCCTTTCTTTTTTTTTTTTTTTTAAGGATTTTACTTAGTTATTTGAGACACACACAGAGAGAGAAAGAACAGGGGGAGGAGCAGAGGGAGAGGGAAGAGGAGACTCTGTGCTGAGCCCAACGCAGGGCTCGATCCCATGACCCTGAGATCATGACCTGAGCCGAAATCAAGAGTCAGACGCTCAGTCAACTGAGCCACGCAGGTTCCCAGTACTGTTTTCATTTCTATTCACAGTTGAGAAAACTAAGGTTAAAGAAGCTGCCTGAAATCTCATAGCTAGGTATTATGGAGCCCAAATTCAAAGTGGTCTGCTTTGATGGATGGGGCGACAGTGCATTTAATCGTGACAGGAACAGGCTTCACTGAGGGGGAAGCCCTGGGCCAGGCCTGAAACCAGAGGAGGATTTGGCATGAAGACGGGTATGTCCGCTAAAGGGGTATCAAGGGGGAAGCCTGCAGGCCAGACCCTCAATGAGGACTCTTAAAATTTCCCTTCTTCCAGATCTCGCCTGGTCGATTTTCAGACCCACTGCCATCCTCTGGACATCCTAGGGACCTGTGCAACAGAACATTCCAGATGTCTGCGAGCATACGTGGGGCTGATTGGTGAGGCTGAGGGCCATGGAGAATGCTCTGGAGATGGAGCACTCCTGAGACAGGTGTCAGAGAGTGGGGACTGAAGTTTGGGTTGGCCAAGGCCCTGACAATCCTCTCTTCACCCCACAGGGACTGCCATGACTCCCAATTTTGTCAGCAGTGTCAACACCAGTATTGCCTTAAGCTGCACCTGCCGAGGCAGCGGCAACCTGCAGGATGAGTGTGAGCAGCTGGAAGAGTCCTTCTCCCACAATCCCTGCCTCAGTGAGTACGTTCCACCTGCTCCCAGCCCCCATGGTTCTGTCAGCTGGATCCCAGGAGAGGAAAAGGGTCAGCTCTGGGTCCATCCTGGTTCCATCCATCTCCTGCAGACATCTCCTGCCCCCTCCTCAGCATAGGTTTACATCCCCCGAAGTCTTGGCCTTTCTTCCTTCTCCCACTCCCTGAATTACCCCCCCAGGCTGCCTGTTCTACCTGTCTTGGCCCCAGGGACACTCTCCAACTCAAGGAACAAGCAAGCAGAATGAGACAATAGCCCACTCCCACCTGCCCTGCTATATGTCAGGGTCCCTGAGACATTCCCTTACCTTCCGTGGGAGCCTGAGAAATCTCTGTCATCTGCCTGCTTCCATTCTACCTTCTCTCCTCTTCTCAGTGGAGGCCATTGCAGCTAAGATGCGTTTTCACAGCCAACTCTTCTCCCAGGACTGGGCGGACTCTACCTTTTCCGTGATGGAACACCAGGTAGGGCCTCCTCTATTACACACCTCTTAACCTTTACTGGACTAGCTGGGAGAAACCCAGAGAAGGGGACAGAGGGGGTGACCTCATGAATACTATAGACCTCTAATGGATACCTCAGGGGAGGGAGACAAGGCCTTGACTGAGGCCAAGGTGGTGAAGGGGGTGGAGCTGACTCCATTCCATTTCTTCTACAGAACAAAAACCCTGCTCTGAGGCCACAGCCGTGGGTGCCGTCTCTTTTCTCCTGTACGCTTTCCTTGATTCTGCTCCTGAGCCTCTGGTAGCTGGACTTCCCTTGGGCCCCTTTCCCCTCAACCACACCCAGTTGACCTGCAGCCTGCAAGGGCTAAGGAAAGAGCAGCATCCAGAAGGAGTCCTGTGCGGTAAACAACATGGCGACCCTGACTGCACCCCACATATCCAGCTGACTCCAGATGGGGCCATAGTAGAAACTGACTAGCTAAGTTCTCATTCCCTCTGCTTCTGACTCAGGCTGCCCTTTCTTAGGACTTGGTGACTGTGGTTTAGTCATCTTCTGGTGGAGACCACCTCTACTAAGCTCTCTTCTAATCCCTTCCTCCTGCCCACGAGAATCACCCAGGCTCTAACAAATCAGCCATTCTCTATTGCATTCTCCAGGTAGGCAGGGCTGGATGTTCTGAGGCAGCCTAGAAAGACATTCCCCATTGTGAGGAAGGCTGGGGCAAGACTCCTACCCCCTTGTCTCCTCCTCTAAATAGGGCAGATGGGAACCTGCTGCCTGCCCTACCCGGGGATCCTGCAGAGCATTTGAGCATCAGGAGCCAGAGCATTTGGGTCTTGCTTTCTTCCTGCTCCTGTCCTGAAGTACCCCCATCCCCTTGGATCATGATTAAACATTTGACTTAAAAACTTTGCTCCTTTCCCATTTTCTCACATTGTGAATTTATACAGAATTAGGAGTGTTACAGATACAAGAGTAGAGGCCAGGTGAGACAGCAACCCTGCCACCAATTGCTGTGTGACTTCCAGGCAAGTTTCTCAACCTCTCTGTGTACTTGACATGGAGCTGGAAGAACAAATCACTTATGGGAGGCTGTGGACCTTGTATCTGTCCCGGATCCAGCCATTTCTAGGATACTGTCTGGATCTGCCACAGCAGCTGAGAGGGGAGTGTCCTTAGTCAACCAAAGCATTTATTGAGCACCTGCTTGTGTTTGGTTTGCTCCAGACCATAATGGGGGCCAGAGGAAAGGAGAGACTGGTCCTTGATCTCATTTGTAATCCTGTTGGGATAAGGAAACAAAGTAGTTGGGAAAATATATTTATAGAGCTGTGGACATTTATCTATTAATTCACTCACTCACTCTTTCCAAAGCATCTCCTGAGTGCTGGCTGTGCAAGACACTATGCTGGATGTAGAAGATTCTGAAGTCATAATTCAGATCCTGTTTTCAAGTCTTTCACACACCAGAGCAGGGGAGTAGACAAGAAGAATGAGGTAGTGTGATGAGTGCTGTACAATAATTATAATAATAACCCTCATTTATCTAGCCCCTACTATATGCATTAATTCATTGGATCCTCCAACAACATTTGACTTTGTCGGTTACTAGCTATATGACCTCGGGCTCAACTTTTCTAGACCTCATTATCTACATCTGTAACGTGAAAAAGCATAGAACCCACTTCAGGAGGAATGAGATAACCCATGTAAAAGCATTGGGACTGACACCTAGTAAGAACTGAAAAAAGGTAGCAATTATAGTAAGTGGTTTTTGTAGAAGATTTGGGCGATACAGACAATTATAAAGAAGAAAGTAAAATCTTTAAATTCCTACTTGCAAACTGCCAAATGCTCTCTGCATCTCTGTGCACATGAGAATCAGTGGGTATGTATAATTTTATGTAAATGAGGTATCCTTGTGTAAGTCACAGATATCTTTCAGCATGCATGAGTACATCATCCTTTTTATCAGCAGCAGAACATGACTTGAATGGATGCTTATTCCTTCATACATAGTTTATTTAACCAGTTCTACATCAATGGGTATTTGATTGTCTTCTCATTTTTCTCCCAACGAAGTTTTAAGGTAGTGAGGAGGTGACTGGGGATAGGATGAGCAGAGTTGCTGCCAGAGTGTGGGTGGGATAGGGAAGCCTCTCCTTATACATTTTGTATCCCCACAGCCCACCCTGCCCCCAGGAAATGCTCAGCCAGCGTGTCTCCCTGCAAACTTCAGTGGGGCACTGGGTGGGACCTTCCCCTTCCTCCCTTCCCAGGAAGATCTCTGAGCTGGCAAAGCCTCTCCATTTGCTTTGGCTCCATTAGCCTGGGGCTGGGGGTGTGAATGGTGCAGTCATTCCTTGCTAAGTGCTTGAATTAGACTAATAGGTCATCTGTGCTTTTCTCTGAAGAAGGTCCAAATTTCTGGTAAACAACCAGACCACTCCCCGAGCCCAGGGCCCAGAGCCAAGACCTGGGGTGGGGGCACAGTGGCTGGACTGCAGCTTTTAATTGTATCCTGACTGAGCAGAATGGTGACTGCCATTAGACTAGCTCCTGGGTAACAAGGAAGGAAGGGCCACTGGCTGCAGTGGTAAATAGTGAGTGCTGAATTGCAGGCTTCTCCGTGGTCGGGGGTAGAGCAGACTGTCTTTTAAATGACTATCTTCATACTCACCTATTCATTCATTCATTCATTCATTCATTCATTCATTCATTCAACAAACCTTTAGCAAGCACTTGCTCTGTGCCAGGTTATGAGTATTTTTTCAAGACCTTTCCCTGACCATTCATGAGCTACCATTTTGGTGAAGGGCAGCCCAGGACTCTTAACAGCTGGACCTCAATTGTTTATATCAATTTTAATGGTTTTGGTTGGCAAGTTTTTGGCTTCCTATTTCTAGAAAAGCTTGTAAACATGAGGAATTTATGCTTGTTTTGCTCTCCATGTATATATAACTTAGATAATAGTGAAAGTACTTAAAACCAATTAAAAAAACAATCAGTGTTCTTTTGAGGACTGGAAATGATACTTGGTACAGCATCTGATACAGGATGAATACTCAATAGATAGTAACTATTACTGTTATCTCCTCCAGGAGGGGATCTGTGGGTACCAGGTGTTCTGGAGCAGGTGAGTGATGGTGCTGGCTCTCCTTCCAATTTTGGGCTGAATTCTGGATGGGGCTGCTCCTGGGAGACTCACTATTCAAGCTCTGAACTCCAAGATGGAAGCCAGAGCTCTGGGTCTGTATCTCTGGTCTGAGGGACCTTGGATAAGAAGACATGGAGTCAAAGAAAGTCAGTGTCTTAGTCAAGGATCTTTTGGCTAACAGAAACATTGGAATTGCTTAGTAAAAGGGAAATGTCATGTACTCCAATCCCAGGAAATTCAGCCAGGCCTTGCAGTACTGAGATTGGTGAGTCAGGAACCAGTCTTGACTGCTCTCAGTTGAAGGCCTAGACATCTTGAACCATCTACTTTATTCTCTCTGCAGGCCACCTTCTTGTGCATGACCTTACAGGTCTAGCGACTTCACCTTAAATGATCTCCCATCCTATTACCAAATTCACAGGAAATCTGATTGTCCATGCACAGGTTCTAGATTGGCTTTTCTGGGTTGAGGCACAATCCCAGGCCTACCAGCTGGGTAAAGGAAACAGAGCTACACACTACTAAAGTAATTACAGGGTCCCAGGTCTATTAGTGGAGGACATTTCTCAGAGAACACAGTGTGGCTCAGCAGGACCCCCAAAGGCATAGACTCTTGTCAGGGAATTGGGGTTTAATCACCCAAGGCCCAGCTTTCCTTCTTTTGTGGCTTCCTTCCTGGCCTTGGAGTGTCTTCTCTGAGCTTCCTTTTTGGATGCCCTGAAGGGATGGGAATGTAGGAACACAGACTGGGTGCTGTGGCTCCTTGGGTGTGAGAAGCACCCTTGGAGCTAGATCTGAGTGGAGGTTCTTTATGGCTGCAGAAGGAGGCTTTGCTAGATTTTTGTTTCTGGCAGTTGAGTAAGGCAAAGTGAAGGGGATCAGAGTATGCCATTCCAAAATATGCCACTTTGGCATGAGCATGATTTTGAGCTGAAGGCAATAGAGAAGCAATAGATGCAGGAAGAGTTCTGTGCCTTCCCCTTAACAGCCTGAAAGCAGGGCATAATTAAAGATGGGGAGTCAACACCAAGATGAGTTTGCATAAACAGACCTTCCTAAAATAGCCCTTCTCTTCCTAAAATAGTTCCCCCATATATTTCCTAGTCACTTCCCCACAATGTATTGCCCTTTGGCCCTAAGCCCTCTTTACTTTGTTAGAAGGGCACATAAGACCCCTAATCTAATCCTGGGTCTTATCTGAGTTTCACTTCTTTTCTGTAAACTCCAATGCAGGTAAATATTAATAAAATTTTTGCCTTTTCTCCTGTTAATCTGTCTTTTGTTAGTTTAATTCACAGGCTTCCAGATACTGAACATAAGAGGGTAAAGAAAAGATTTCTCCCCCTGACGAAAGCACTGCCATTTCATTGGGTGATAACCCTCCATCTTCACCTCTACATCCCATCTGACCAACAGTCATGGTCTCTCATCCTTTTCCTTTCTTGGGATCTCTGGTTGTCAGAAATTCCAGTCTCTTTTCAGCATCTCCACTTCTCTCAGGAGGAAGCCTCTTCACATCTGGAACTTGCAAGACTTGGTCCAATAATATTCCCCTTTCACATATCGAGCTGGTCAAGGCCTTGACTGGCATACTGCAGGGTGGGTCTAAAGGTAGAGGAGATCCAGAGACAGTAATAACAACTAACATATATTAAGAGCTGCATGTGTGCAAAGCATGATGCTGATGGCTTAATGAGCATTAGCTCATTTACTTTTCAGAACTGTCCTATTCCCCCCCACCACCACCCCATTTTACAAGGAGGCTTAAGAAAGCCAAGCAACTTGTCCAAGATTATAGGGCTGACAGTTGACTGATGCAGGAATCAAACCTCAATCTCCCTGACTCTCAGGCATGATCTTTGATCCATGTCACCTTTGTGCAGTGTTGGGGTGAGACCCTGTGTCCTAAATTACAACAGAGGCTATGATGAGGAGTGTGGGGTAAGGGGGAGGAGCTCTTTTAGGATGTAGGTTTCCTGAAAGAGATGTAGGTATTTGGGCTGGACCTTGAAGAATGAGTAGGGTTTAATTAGGCAGAAATGGGGAAGGGCACCCCCAAAACCAGAGTGAGCAAACACAGAGTCTGGAAAGGGCAGGAAGTGTTGAGGGAATGACAAGCAGTCTGCTGTGACTGGAGTTCTGTGAGGGGAGGTGCCCCCAGGTCTTACTCTCACTCATCTCCCCACCCAGCTGTCCTGGGGGAGGAGTCTCCACTGCAAACACACCCACTGCAGAGCTGCTCTTGTGAAAGGCAAGAATCCTGGGGAACTGGGGTGAAGAGTTCTGGCTTGGCATGCTTGGCATCCCTGGCCATTGGGAGCTCCATGGCCCATTGACCCCTCGGTGACATCCCAGGGCACAGAGGTCAGTGTGTGGGGGTGAGAGGATGAAGTGAGCCTGTGTCTGGACTGGGAACAGTGACAGGCAGAAAGGAAGAGCCCATCCCCCACAGTGGGACACAGCAAAGAGCCCCTCCCTCTGCTGACCCGCTACAGTTCCTGTGATCAACTTAAGTATCAGGGCATTGGTTCTGGGAGTACGGTCTTCCCAGACTTTGGTTGGCTTTGGGGTTCCCATGGAGGCTTCTTCCTGCTGAGCACCTGCTGTGGGCCATGTAGGGCAGTCCGTAGGTTGGCACAGAGATGAAGACAAGTTTTGTGGTAGAGACAGACAGACAAATTACAAAGACATCATTGTTTGAGTACTTGGTATGTGTCAAACACTGCACTAAGAGCTTTACAGGTACATCTTTTTTAAAGCTGAGCTGCCTCAGGGGCTTGTCTCCACATGGTATCAATCTGGCATCCACAATATCTGAAGCAAATTTAAATAATTGTTGCACAGTCTTTTGGAAAAAATACACAGCAAATCTTTTTTTTTTTAATTTTTTTTTTTTTAAGATTTTATTTATTTATTTGCGAGAGAGAGAATGAGAGACAGAGAGCATGAGAGGGAGGAGGGTCAGAGGAAGAAGCAGACTCCCTGCCGAGCAGGGAGCCCGATGTGGGACTCGATCCCGGGACTCCAGGATCA